ACCATTTTCAAATCTGGTTCACATTCTGAGGCCTTATCCTTTATAGGAAACTGGTCTCTATCAAACGTTTTTATATTCAAGTGAGCTTACAAATGAACATGGAAGTACTGAATGGTTTTTATGTTTTTTAGGTTTTTTTTCCCTATATCCTGATTTTTTTTTTTTCTCCCGCAGTTACTGTCCCTATGTGCTCAGTTCTTTCTTGGATGTCTTCATGCATGCTAACTTTTGCTGGCCTTGATGATTAAATGAGCACTTATTCAGGTCTTGGCGTCAGGTTGTTAGTTTGTGCCTTTGTAGCATGCTGTGCCCACTTTTTCCTTCCACGTACACAAGTAATGACCACAGCATCACCTCCTGTTCCATTTCCTTTGAGATCTACATTTTGATGCAGACTTTAACTTCGCTCACTTCTGCCATGAGTTCCTATGCTTTTCTGCAGCATTCTGTACCCACTCTGCAGTCTTTCCTAGTTGCTTTCAGACTTTAGCTTGAAAATGATGTTTCTGTGCTGGTGGCTTCTCTAGCATTCAGAGCTACTGCCTTTGGTTTTGAGTTATGTTTTTGAGACTTTTCCTATGTGCTGGGTTGGTAAAGGAAGTCCGTTTGTTGACCTTATGCAGAGCAGCGACTTGGGTTTGTGGTGGTGTTCAGGTCACTAAAAGGGTGTTGTCAGCATCCTGGCAAGTGATGGGATGTAGAGACATGCCGAGGTCTGCCATCTGAAGTTGATAAGCCAGCAGAGGCAGAAAACAGTGACAAGTAGAGAGCCACGTGTGCATTTAGGTAGAAGTACGGGGTGCTGGTACTTTAGGCCAGGAGAGGCACACTTATGCAGACTGAAGGGGGCTGGGAAAGGCCAAGGTTTCTGAGTGCTTGTGAAGAGTCTTGAAGGAGGGCCAGAGGCAGCCCTTTACAGGCAGAGGGCGTGTTCAGAGACGTGGGTCTATGAATAGGTATATAAAGGTGGTAGAATGACAAGAAATAAAGTGGGTTTGTGTATTACAAGGCTTGCTTTGCTGCTTGTACCCCAGTTACATCCAGATCTCATTTTTCCTTTCTTTCTGGTCCTGATTCTGTCCATTTTGCCTTTGCTCTGAGAGCATACAAAGGCAACACGAGAATCAGGAGTTTAAATGGGGGGGGCCTTAGGAGAAATGGAGAAGCAGATGGTACCCTCCGTTTTATAAGCTACGTGGAGGCGTGAGTGCTGACGGCTGTTGCCTCAGCATGGAGCACATTGCCAGGCACATGGGAAACGCTCTGTACAGATTTCTCTCATACAAGGTGCTCCTCTGCCCCTCTATCTCCTCCTGTCGGTACCTTCTTCCTTCTCTTCTGTATCGGGTTCCTATCTAGTGGGTGATCCTGTCCGCTTGCTCTGTGGACATACCTGTCCTGTGTATGGTCACCCACCCAGGACATACCTGTGTTATACAGATGGATCCACAATAGCGTATGAGTAGGTGCTAACATCCCTGTGAGATCCAGAAGCTTTTCTACAGCCGTTTATATTGGGTCATGGGAAAAGTCGCATTTTTGCATACAACAACATAGAAAAATACATCCTGACTTTTCTTCCGATGACACAATATTATGGCAGATGAGGGGGAGGCCAAAGTTGACCACTACAGGAATGACATTTCTTTGCATTTTGTTCATGATTTATCGCAGGGATCCATTGCAATGCTGAGTTCTAGTTCCTAAGTTCTGTGCGCCTGTGCGTGTACGTATCTGCATCATCCGTTACTTACCTGTAAGCGAAAGTGACGTTCTGGGAAGATGTTGCTTCACGTGCCTCTAGATGACTGCCTATTCCCTTAGATTGGGAAACTGGTTTTAAATGAGTTATCACATCCAGGTAAATTTTTTTTCTTACAAAAATTTCCTCTGATGTTACAGTGTGATCGCCAGAGAAGCCACCATACAATAGCTGGTTAATGCTGTTGTAGATTTTTGTCATTTCCGGTTACCCAGGGTTTTTAAATGTTTTCTCTATGTTTTGATCATTTTTCTTATTGAGGGCCCCACTTTCCCAGAAAACTTGCACCCTTAGTCTCTCCTGCAACTGGGACACAAGCTTATGATCCAGGTTTGATCAGTCAGTTACGCAGAGCCAAACTTGGATCTGGAAGTGAGCATTGTGAGGTGGCACTCGTTTGTCATTGAATTGAAGACCTGGTGATGATGTTGACAGAGATGCGTGGCTTTTAAGGAGTGGCAGTGGCAGGACTTCTGGATTTTAGCCTCGAGTGTTGTAAGTGCTGAGTGAAAGTGGCAATACTTTTTTTTTGAGGGGGTATTTATCTTTCTTTGTTTTTTTTAATTTTTTTATTTTTTTTTTATGATTGTCTGGGGTTTCTGGTTAGATGTCCAACATTAGTTTGGAATATTTGCAGCCATTATCTCTTCAAATATTTCTTCTGTCCCATTCTCCTCTTTCTGTGATCCCAGTTATTACCTTTGATATGACTGGACCTCAACAATCTTGTGGAAAAGTGGAATTAAAGTACAAATTTATTTTGGCACAAAAAAAATTTGAAATCCATGCATACTTTTTAAATAATATATTTCCCATAAACTTTTTTTTTTTTTTTTTAGATTCTCTTGCCATAGGGTATGTGCACTCGCCAGAGAGTCACAGAGAGAGGGACAGAGATAGGCAAAGTGAGAAATCACCCTCCAGGGCAGATGGTCACTCTGCAGTCCCTTCTGCATTCTCCTCTCGGTATTTTGGGCATGCATGCACATGCACCTGCTGCTGGGTCCCAGACTCGAACCACGCAGTTCGCCTTGTGGGATCTAGTGCCTTAACCTCCATGCCACCTGCTGGCCCCTCCCATGAACTATTTGAAGATCCCTTGTATGTCCCACAGATCTTGATATTCTTTTTTTTTTCCCCCACTTTTTTTCTTTTTATTACCAGAGGGGAGGTACAGTTGCCAGGGAGAGAGAGACAGAAGTAGTGTAGTGAGCACTGTGTTACACAATGACAAGATTGCACTGAATAATAAAAAGTGTGACATGTACACCCCGATTCCTCCCTTCACCTGCCAGACCAAAGGGACATGGGGGAACATCCAGTAGGAGTAACAAACACCTGGGCGTGATAACTCCAGACATGTTAGCCTACCCAAGCTGAGCAGCACAGACTCACCATGTGATAGTCTTAGACACAGGTGCTAATCTGACACTGCTTACCCGGGGGCAGAAAAGGAGCCCTTTCCAATGCCACTTTGCCATTTGCTCCTGGCAACATGACCAGAGTGCATCACTCCCGGCCACCCCAAGAGACTAGCAGACCTTGGTGTCTGAGACTGCCCAAGACTCACTACCTCCATCCAGGTCTATTCGTGAGACTTCCAGGAATGGAGTGGACTGGCTCCCTCCCTTCGAGAGTAAATAAATGCCTGGGACATCTGGGACCCATGACTGGTTTTTTGCCTCCAGAGACTGCTCAGGGTGATCGGCCAGTGAGAGTTGTCTCATCCCTTGACTTGAATGCTTTGCTATGCTGTTTTATGGGATGTAATAAAGTCTGACATTGTGAAAGACACAAACACGCTCGGGGTCTTATTCCTATGTTCAGGACAGAGAGAGGGAGAGGGAGAAAGCATCCCCACAGTAGAGCATGGTCATACCACAATCCTTTCTCATCTTCCCATCCTGTCGGGACTCTGGGCTCACATGCACGTGTGCTCAGTGTGTTTTTCTTTCTTTCTTTCTTTCTTTCTTTCTTTCTTTCTTTCTTTCTTTCTTTCTTTCTTTCTTTCTTTTTTTTTTTTTGGAGAGGTTTTTTTTATAGGGTGTGTGCGCTTGCCAGAGAGACAGAGAGAAAGTGAGAAATCACCCCCCAGGGGGGATGGCCATGCCGCAGTCCCTTCTCCTCCATTCTCCTCTCGGGATCTTGGCACAACAGCAATACCCCCCCCCTGCGTGAGTTAAAGCTGCCAGATCTGGGACTCAAACTGCCGTTGACTACATGCGAGTCCAGCGACATAGCCATTACGTCAACTGCTGGTCCCTCTCAGTGTGTTTTTCAAGCCACTATGACCAGAACTCGAACCACAGTTGACTATATAGGATCTGATTCCCTTAACCACTAAGCCGTGGAGCTGGGCCTCCCCCACTATTTTCTTTCAGTATTTTGGTTGGGGTAATTTCTTTTGACCTATCTTCTTCTGTTTTTAAAAATAATTATTTATTTCACTTTATTTATTTATTTAAATTTGACCAGAGAGAGACAGAGCGAGAGAGAGGGAAAGTGAGAAGTCAAGCCACCAGGTCCAGGACGTGATGGGACTCGGCTGGCCATGTGGGAGTCCAGCGCCCTTCACCACCATGCCACCTGACCCCTTTTTTGACCTATCTTCAAATTCAGTAATTCTTTCCTTGGCTGAACTGAGTGTCTGATGAGCCCATTAAAGGCATTCTTCATCCTTCTTAATTGTTTTTCATTTTTAGCACTTTAATTTTATTCTGTTTTACAGTTTCCATCTCTCTATTGAAATTACCCATCTGATTTTACATGTCCTCCTTTTGGTTTAGAGCTCTCAACATATTACTTAGAATATTTTCATTTTCTTTCTAGACATTTCTAACATCTGTTTGATTTTGCGTCTGGTTCTGATAAATTCTTTGTCTTTTCTGAGTGTTTTTTCTTTGCCTTTTCCTAGGCCTTATGATTTTGTTGTCGTTGTAAGCCTGACCCGTTAACATTAGAGATTGAGGTACGTAATTTGTATGTCTGTAAATGGGCACGTCTTTCCTTCTGCTAGGCCTTTAGTGCTGGTTTATGAGTTACTATAGTTAGGAGTTGACTGGGTTTGAGTTTTTGTGTGGTGGTGGTTACCCTCATTGTACCTTAGGCTTTAGATGTTCTTAGAGATACTTGGTGGTTAGGGTGGGAGTTGCTTCTGTTCTATTCAGATTTCTAGGTCTCCACTTTTTTTTAAAATTAGTATTACTTATTATTTTTATACATTCAGTCATTATACATCATTTAGTTTGTAAAGAGATTATACCCAACATGATATACGCCACACAGCAGACAAGTTGATACTACTATACACGTCATCACCAACAGGCAACAAACCATGCCTGTGTAACACAGATGTCCTACTTCTCCATATTTTCCTAGGTCTCCACTTTGAACTGGGCTTCAGTGTCTCTTAGGATGCTCCTGTTTTTCGGAACCAGCAGGTGGCATGGTGGTTAGGGCGCTGGACACTCCCACATGTCCAACCACAGTTTGAATACCAGACCTGGTGGCTTGCTTTCTCCTTTTCCCTCTCTTCTCTCTGTGCATCTCTCTCTGTCAAATTAAAATAAATGAATGGATAAATAAAATTAAATAAATAATCATTTAAAAAAAAAGATGCTCCTGTTTTTCTCCTGCCTCTCTCTCAGTAGTATAGTCAACCCTCCATATCCATGGGTTCTGCATCCGCAGATTTAACCAACCACAGATCTAAAACATTCTAGAAAAAAAAAAGAAGAAAGAAAAAGAACCCACAATAAGAAGTAACAATAAGAAAAGTAATACAAATAGGAAAACAGTGAAGTATAATTACTATTTACATTGTATTAGGTATTATAAGTGATAAGTTAACAATTTAAAAAGCCCATTTATTCTGAAGTAAGACCCAGAGACAGTTGAAGGAAACTGAACTCGGGCACATGGAAGGTGACTGACCTTGGAATGTGGACCTGCCCCTGTTTCTGGGTCATGTTTGAGCCCTTTTATCTCCCACAGTACAGGAAAGGACTTTGTTCCAGTCCATTATTGACCTGTAGGTCACCAAAGGAGAGGACAGTTCCCTTTGACCCCTCCCTAAGGTTTCATTAACAAAGCTCATAACAAGAGGGAAGACAAGAATGTCGACAGCCCTGGGCAGAGTTTTGCAGCTGTCGCCAGTCCCCCAGGTCCACCCAGCTCCCAAAGAAGATGATCTACTCATTGCGTGAGCACTGAACTCATTCTTCCCTCTTTAAATCATGTGCGACATGCCAGGCTTACCGACTTCCGTGCCAGCCCCCAGTGACAAGGAGATCATCTTGCTCCCCTCATCTTTGAGATTTAGCCGATCATTTCTGTACAAGACTCTTTGCTGTAGCGTTTGACCAAAGTGAGACTTTGATGAATCTCTTTGCCCATTTGCGACTTTTGCCTTTACAGTTGCCCTGAAATCCCCTCAGCACATACTATTCATGGCAAACATGGATGCTGTGTGTTTGGGTGATTGTCCTTTCTTTGACCCTAAACACTTATTTTGCCTCAGCCTTCCATTATATGTCAGCATAAATAATTGAGAGGTGATTTAAAGTATAAGGGAAGATTCTCTCTCTCTCTGGTCAAAATGAAGAATGAATCAATAAAAGGGGGGACAGCAGGTGGCCCGGTGGTTAAGGCATTGGACTCCCACATTGCTGACCGTGGTTCAAGTCCTGGACCTGGCAGCCTGCTCTTTCTCTTGTCAAAATGAATAATAATAATAAGTATTTAAAAAGTATAAGGGAAGATGTTTTAGGTTATATGCTGATAACTACACTATTTTATGTAGGGAACTTGAATACCTGATAATTTTTATATACATGGGGTCTTGGACCAGTCCCCTGCCCATATGGGGATGATGGGGATGACTTGGATTCTGTTTCAGTGTTCCTTGAAGTCTGTTAACCTGGAAGTGGGGAAGGGTGGTGGGATGTGGTCTCCTTTGTTCTGATTGAGCCTCAACTTCAGGTTGAGTCCCACTGTCTGCCCTACCCCTGGCTGTTAGGATGGCTCAGTGGAATTCTGTCCCCAAAGTAGAGTTCCCCCCTGCTTTGAGTTTCCACCTTTGTCTTAAGGGTAGAAGTAATCACTATCTTTTCTTTCACAGATAAAGGCTTGTCTTCACTGGTGGAGAGAGAGGAGTGATCTGGGTGTGGAGCTCTGCCTTTCAGGCATCCCTCTGTTCTGTCATCAGGGCTACATCACAATGGGCAGTCCTCAGGCCTATTTTCTCTGTCAGCCTCTGTCCCTGGTGGGTGGGGGGGGCTTGGTAGAGGAAGATCCTGCAGAGGTTGGGGTCTCCCCAGTTTCTGCAACCTCCATTGGTTTCACACTGTCCTGTTAGCAAGCTACATCGGTTTCACCTATTTGTCAACTCTTCTGCCTGAACTCCTGTTTTCGGTGTCATTTTACCCCAGGTGAGCGCATGGTTATCACCTCTCCCTCCTGTTTCTCTCTAGTGTTTGAGCCAACTGGTTGTTCAATCTGTGAACGCTGGCTTTAAAGAAAGGCATGAACTTGAAATTCTCCTGCCTCTTTTTCACTGTAAGGAAGACAACTTTGAACTCCTCTGTTAAAGGGTTGAAGCCAGAAATTTAGTTACTCTTAAAATTTTAACACGGGGCCTGGTGGTTCAGGCAGCCAGATCCCACATGGCTGACTGTGTGGTTTGAATCCCAGGCTGGCAGCTTGAGAAACACGCTGGGTGGGTATGTGTATGTGTGTCTATGTGTGTGTGTGTATGTGTGTGTGTGTGTGTGTGTGTCTCCAAAATTCCAAAACAAGGGAGAGATAGGGAACCAGCAGTTAGCGTAATGGCTATGTCGCTGGACTCCCACGTGGTCGACTGCGGTTCGCGTCCCGGACCTGGTGGCTTAAAACCCACTCCGGGCGCGTGTGCGTGTGTGCCCAAGATCCCGAGAGGAGAATAGAGGAGAAGGGATTGCGGTGTGGCCATCCCCCCTGGGGGGTGATTTCTCGCTTTCTGTCTCTCTGTCACTGTCTGTCTGGCGAGCGCACGTGCCCTATAGCAAAAACCTCTCCCCTCCCCCAAAAAAGAAAAGGGTCAAAAAGAAGGGAGAAAAGACTGTGTTGGAGGAGGGATTACAGTGCGACCATTTCCTATGGGAGGTGCTTTCTCCTCTCCATCTCTGTCTGTCTCTCTCTCTGTCTCTGGGGAGTGTACACACCCTCTAGCCAGACCAAAATTTTAACATGTGTATTTACTTAAAGTCAAAGCTTTATTATTATTTTTTTTGGGGGAGAGGTTTTTGCTATAGGGCGTGTGTGCTCGCCAGACAGACAGAGAGAGACAGAGAGACATAAAGCGAGAAATCACCCCCCAGGGGGGATGGCCACGCCACAATCCCTTCTCCTCTATTCTCCTCTCGGGATCTTGGGCATGCACATACACGTGCCTGGCATGAGTTTAAGCCACTGGGTCTGGGACTTGAACCACGGTCGACTACATGGGAGTTCAGCGACATAACCATTACACTAACTGCTGGCCCCCAAAGCTTAATTATTATTCCTGTCCTCCTAAATAAGACTAAGATTTTAGAATGATGTACCTCTTAATCGTCACCCTTTTTTCCATGTTGTTATCTATGCATTAGTTTCGTCTTGTTTAAGCCACATTAAGCCTATAAGATAGTGAATAGTTGCTCACCAAGGCAAACATATTTACTCACTGATGTGTTTTTCTGATTTCTTTGCTCACCGTTCTTCATTCACCCATTTCTCCTTTGTTGGTTCAGCTTCCTTCTTCATAAAGAGTGTTCTTAAAGTAGTTCTAATACAGGCCTGTTAATAGCTTGGTCCTGGAGTTTACATTCTTTGTTGCTGGGGAGTCTCAACCCTTGCTGGTCTTTACCCAGAGTGTGAGCGTCCTTGGCTTTGCGTGGGAAAGAATTCAAGAGCGAACCATTGAGGAAGAGTGAAAGCATGTTTATTAAGGAAAGTGTACAAAAGCAGACTACTCCATAGGCAGAGTGGCTGCATAAGAGGTGGGCGAACAGTTCATTCCTTACTCTGGGAGGAAGGGGAGAACTGTTACTCGAAAGGAAAGCTAGAAGGGCTACCCCATAGGCAGGGCATCACTGACATTGATGGGTATCTGGCTTATAGGGCTGGGCTTACTTCCAGGCTAAGGTATTTGTTCATGATTTGTCCTGGAAAGGGGCAGTAGTTTTCCTGGAACCACCGTCTCTCATTTTCTGGCCTTATTAGTGTAGTTCTGATTGTTGCCATGGTTATTCCATACTGTCATGGTGCACATGGGAGTGTCATCTAGCATAATATGGTTCAGTGGGGAGTTTAGTGAGTTTGAAGGTTAGGCAGAGGTTGTTCCAGGCGCCATCTTGGTTTCTGCTGATTTGGACCCAGTCTCTCGTCACTTCTTTGCCTGGCTTTTAGGTTGTTTCTTTGGATGGTTTTGTATTTGTCTCAATGGGACCCTGTGGATTTGCTGCTTCTGGAGAGCTTTTGATCTCTCCTCAGATGGGTCTCTGGCACCCCAAGAGTAGTTTGAATTTGGACTCCAAATCTGTGTAGAGACGAGACTTGGGTTTTCCCTTCTGCTTTGGTTACTCTTTCTACTCACGGCCTGACTGATGTGTTTAGCTTTTCATATCTCTTTTACCTAAGGACAGTGCTTTGTGTCTGCTAGTCCACTGTGTTGCTAATAACAGAAATACATGAGTCTGGGCAGCTTATAAAGAATAGAGGTTAGGTCCAGGATCAAGGGCCTGCATCTGCTGAATATCTTCTTGCTGGTGATAAAGTGGCAGAAGGGCTCACAGGGTGAGACAGAGAAGTGTACATCTGTCTGTGTCCATGTGTCCCTCTCCTTATAAACCCACTAGGACTATATCATGAGAGTCCCACCGTAGTCCTAATCATCTCCCAAAGGTCCCACCTCTTAATCCCTCTTAATTCCATTACAACCAAATTTCATAACATTAATTTTTGAGGTTTACATTCAAACCATAGCAGTTTCTCTTGACTTCATGCTGGTGGTTCATTTCCAAGCATAGACTTGAGGCAGCTTTTCTAGCTTCCTGGTTCTGTAATCATTTGAGTTTGTAGCCCTCTTGTAGAGGGCAGGAGTGAGCAGGCCTTTGTCCTCTGAAGACTCATTTAACATGCTCCTGTGTTTGCAGCTGCTCCTTTCTGTTCTAGTTTTCCTGACTATGGGTCAAGTAGCAGTTCAACCAGTTAGAACCAGGAACTAGTTACAACCACCGACATTCTCTTACTTAAACAGGTTATTTACCAAAAGTTGATTTAGACATTGATTGTGTAGAACACACTTCACATTATCCAATAGAAATTAGGTTATTTTAAAAATAGATTAGTTTCCCAGGTATCTCTCAGGAGTCTGTTCTTTCCATTATACAATTGAAATTCCTATAGATTCATGAGCCCTTTGGGACTGTAATCAATGTATAGAAGGTGAT